ACCCTTCTGGAAGTCTAGTTGAATGGAGATGTGTTTAGAAAACCCACGCACGCAAATTTCCTCCTTGATCCCTTTGTGGGATAATTAGTCTCTATCTAGAGTATGTAAACCTTGCACAACAGGGAATAGGAGGATTAAGGAATATTTTAGTTCAAAACAATTATCAACTAGAATGAATATATAATTACCTTTCAGTCCTCAGAAGTGGAATAAAGCAAAACAAGAGGCTGATAAACCACTATACTTAGTTCCTAATACTATTGCCTTGTCAATGTTAAAAAAGTTAGGTGAAATATTGTGGCAGTAGAAAATCAGAACAATCGTTATAGAGGCACCAACACTTTCCTCATTTTTGCTATTGTTTCGATAATTTTCGTTCCATTTTTCTTTCTTATGAGACTACAAGATTTTATGCTTATGTGGTAGTGTCTATCAAAGGGAGTCGTGCCGAACCACATATAAAAGATTACCTTAACGCCAAAACCAAATTCAAATGGCTGTGAATCTAAAAATACGAAATGGCAGAACAAATGGCTAATAGGGGGTACGAAATAGCTTGTTCCGAAATAGAGCGTTTTGCAGACACTATTTATAGTTGTCGGATTGGCTTACGTAAGGGAGCAAAAAGAACCGTTGAACAAGAGAAGTAGGGTTTGCATAGGCCTGAGTTGTGTTAGGTCTCACAGCTTATATTACTTGGACACTGCATACACACAATGCAAAATACCACTTACCTAAATAAACAACGAAATTGCAGGATCAAACGTTGGGTTATTTGGTCAAAGAAAGAGGTGTTTTGCATCTATTACCTCTGTGTGGATGTGATAATCCCACATCGTTTTATTTGGTAAGTCTTTATGCAAATGATGTTTCCTCGTTCTGATGATTTCTTTTACACGACAAAGGAAAGCTTGGCACAATTTAATCGGAGTCGAAGGATGGTGAACTGAGGATCTCTTCGAACAATCCAACGATCTACACCCCAACGCAATCCCTTTAGGGCTTCTGAATGTAAAATCGTGAACCCCTTCCAAACAACTTTCATTCGAAATGTTAGGCTGACATACATTATACCGTGATTTCCTCTATGGCCAAATTATTTCTGCCTTGTATTTTCTGTGTGATCTTTTGGGCTTATTCCTTTTACGAATGAAATTTAGGATAAATTAGGAATATGCGTCGCCAAACAAACAGATCAAATGAAGTTCTTCTGACTCAGGATTACCAATTAAACTCTCCGTCCTATTGCTCTCAGCTCTGTTTCCCTCGAAAACAGAGTTCAACCCAGCCACCTTTGGAAGCAAAGCTCAATACCATTACAAAATTCATGAAAAATTTTAACTGAGAATCCTTGAGGTTATTTAAGAAAAGGCAAAGATTTGCTATTGGCCTTAAACTAAATCATGTACTGTACTGGGATGTGCTAGGCAGGAGTATATTCCATGTTGCCGCTTCCGAACTAATGGTTCAGAAACTGACCCGCTACAAACATAGTTTCTCTATTTTCTTCTCTAGTACAAGGGCATTAAACAAAACAGCTTTACGCTTTGCGAAAATGGTGTGCAGTAGAATGGTATGCTTATAAATGGCCTAGCGACTCAACGAAGATGAGTGGTTGGCAAAGCCAAAGCATTTTTGCTAGTCAGAAAGTTCAATCTGTCCTAATGCCTCATACCCATCGGTCTATTTAATGCATTTTGCAGTAGCAAGATTTCATTATCCATCGTACAAACTTTACCTAACCAAATTAATAATCATTTATTAATCTATTCACAATAAATTCCCCTCATCTTTCTTTAATAGGCTTATTCCTTGCTTAGTAACGCATGTATCATGCCTAACTCCAGTAATCCCTTTTAGAATTTAGATAACGCTATCTCATTCAAAACGCCTAATTTGTTCGAATATTTTCCCCGGTGCACAATTTTCTCACTTTATTATAAATATTAGTTCATGTCTCGCCCCATTTTCTCCCCTTGAACAAATTATTGCAATATGTTCTCTTAACCTAAATTATTTTGCCTTATGTCTGTTGTAAAGAGTCCTACCTTACCTCCTGCAATAAAATAAAGTGTTTCACTAAATAAATTTCAGTATATGATATTTTTTCTCTTCGGAATTATGACTTAAACGATATTTTCACTCAATCATCTAGACATTTCTTCAATGCTTCTATAAAATGTGCAGATAAAGAATTATATTGCTTAGAATATGCCTTTTAATTTTCCGGTACTTAGAAGATTTAAGAGCTGTATT